TCCTAAAATTAGGCGACTGATTAATTCCTGTGCAAATTGCATCCATGGGGGAGCCATTCCTTTAGATCACTGCAGGAAACAATGGAATTGGCCTGGCTTTCCTATAACTGTAAGAAAAGTTTAGAGCACTCACCAAGGGTGTGAGGAACTCAGATGCACCTTCTTGTACTTTTGATGGCTGGGGACAGCATGAGGATCTACATCGATGGGTGAGATGCTCCATTGCTGTTCAAAATGTTTTCCTCCAACCATAAGTGGGCAGTGACGTCTCAGAAGGACTCAGCTCTGAGGCAGCTGCTGAAATTGTTTCTTCGCGTATAGTGAGACATGCAGCCAGTTCTGAGGGGCTGTTTTTAGATCATGGACATATCTGCCAGCACAGATAAGGAGCTGCTTGCCAACTCCAAACATACACATGCGACATTTACTCAATTACACACAACATAAACAACAAATAAACAACCTCCCCCTCCCATAAACTAATCAAGCTTTTTCTCCTTCAGATGGAAAAGAATGAAAAAAAAACCAAAACAAAAGCTATTGTTTTGATTTTTTCTTCTCTTCTAATTTTAAATACAAGGAGAGGCTCCAATACTATACTGAAGCTGGAGCTATTTAGATACAAAAATAAAATATGCAGATTCAGGAGTTCATTCCCTATCTATCGGGAAAATAAGCTTTGTTAAATGAGCTTGGAATCTATCCCTTATGTGGAGGGCCTTCAGTCTTCACACTGTGAATCGACAAAATCCATGAATATTTAGCTTAATTGGCCAAATTGATTGTATGTTAAACATGATTTAATCACTTCATTGCCATTATGGTAGGAATAAATATGGATAAGCCACTTTGATTTTAAAATGCCAGTCTTTCTGTGGAAGTTCAGGAGTCTTGGAAGGAGTTGGGGAATTACCTTGTTTAAGATATAGAATAATTTTTTTTTTTTTTTTTTTTTTGCTTGATACCTGTTTTCCCTGCCTTGAAACTTTCTCTCTTGTTGAGGAGCCTTAAGAATTTAATTTAATTCAATAAAGAGTGCCAGGAGTTTTTCTGTGAGTATTCAAGTAGTGGATAACATGAATTTCTAAGCTGACAACAAGTCTTAACATGGCTTCTGATTCATTCCTGACATAGCTGGGCATAATACTGGAGATGTTAGAGTATTTGGAAGATAGCACTGCTAGAGAACATGCCATAAATGTAGAAGAGAATAATTAAATTAGATCCTCTCAGGATGAACATGCTAACATGCTGAGACCAGAATGCATGTACAGTATATTAAAAATAAATGCTTGTACTGCACAGGCAGTGATTCAGCAGTCATTTGAACTCAGTGAAACTTTTTCATACAAACTAATTTCAGTGAAACTACTCGTGAGAGTAAGTTACACTCAAGCAGAAGTGGATTCATGGGTTCGCTGACATTTTTCTGACCTGAAGCCAGGTAGGTGCAATAAGACTGGAAACAGCCATTTCATCTGTTTTATTATTTCATAGAATCATAGAATGGCTAAGGTTGGAAGGGACCTTAAAGACCATCAGCAAAGAGGTTACAACCTCTTTGCTAAGAGCAGGGACACCTCACACTAGACCAGGCTGCACAAGGCCTCATCCAACCTGGCCTTGAACATCTTGGGGGGAGGAGGGATCCACAACTTCCCTAGGCAACCAATTCCAGTGCCTTACTACCCTCATAGTGAAGAATTTCTTCCTGATGTCTAACCTAAATCTCCCCACTTTCAGTTTAAAACCAATACCCCTTGTCCTATCTCTACCCTCTCTGCTGAAAAGCCCTTCCCCATTGGCCCACCTCTCAAGCTTATCAAGGTCCCTCTGGATGGCGTCCCTTCCCTTTAGGGTGTCAGCTACTCCACACAGCTTGGTATCATCAGCAAGCTTGCTGAGGATACACTCAATCCCACTGTCCGTGTCTCCAACAAAAATCGGGTATGATTTGCCCTTAATGAAGCCATGTTGGCTGTCACCAAACACCTCTTTATTTTCCATGTGCCTTACCATAATTTCCAGGAGGATCTGCTCCATAATCTTCCCAGGGAATGAGGTGATACTGACTGGGCTGTAGTTCCCTGAGTCTTCCTTTTTCCCCTTTTAAAAATAGGGGCTACATTACCTTTTTTCCAATCGGCATGACCTGTCAAACATGATGGACAGAGGCTTAGCAAATGCATCTGCCAGCTCCCTCAAGACCCATGGCTGGACCCTATCAGGTCCCATAGACTTGTGCACCTTCAGGTTCTTTAGATAGTCACAAACTTGTTCTTCTCCTACAGGCCGGGCTGCTTTGTTCTGTCCAATCCCTGTTTTCTCCTGCTGTGGCCTTTTTGATGAGGCTGGAGCACTTGCCAGAGAAGACTGATGCAAATAAGTCATTGAGAACCTCAGCCTTCTCAATATCCTGCATAGCTAAGTCTCCCATTTCCTTCAGGAGAGGGCCTGCATTTTTCTTTGTTGTCTTTTTATCCCCAACATACCTGTTGAAGCTTTTCTTATTGCTCTTTACATCCCTGGTAAAATTTAATTCCACCTGGGATTTGGCTTTCCTTACCTGATCGCTAGCTGCTCGGACAACCTCTGTAATTCTCCCAGGGTACCTGCCTTTCCACACTGTGTACACTTCTTTCTTAAGTTTGAGCTTTTCTAGGAGCTGCTTGCTCATCCACTCTGTCCTCTTGGAGTTTTCACCTGACTTTCTCTTAGTTGGGATGCATCGCTTTTGGGCCTGAAGAAGGTGATCCTTAAATATCAGCCAGCTTTCTTGGATTCTTCTTCCCTTTAGGATGTTATCCCAAGACACGCTCTCAAGCAGATTCATGAAGAGGCTGAAATCTGCCCTCCTGAAGTCAAGGGTAGTAAGCTTACTGTGAGCCTTCCTTGCTACCCTAAGAATCTTGTCATCTGCTCCTCGTATGACTTGTTCTCTAGACCCGCCACCGGGTGGTGGCTCTTCTCTGGACACGCTCCAGCACCTCAGTGTCTCTATCCATGCTTGACTCAATCACTGTTGCGAAGGCTCTTAGTGCCATTTGATGTAATGGAGGTACTTAAGACCCCTGTGTGAGGCTGACAGATGTGGTTAAAACTGGGAGAGAAATATGCCCTTATGGAGTGGCAAGTAAAGCCAGGAAGATACCCTGGGAACTAGAAGGGAGTGATGGATCTGAGTTCTCTCAGTCTGATAGAGGTTGTGCTGAACCACTCCCCAGGCTCCACTGATGGTACTGATTTGATGGTATTGATTTTAATGGAAAACCCTCTAGCTCATGTGAAGTTGTCTTAATTTGGGCATGTTAGTCCTTCACTGAATCGTACTTCCCCCCCGTTTTTTTGTTTTCCTTTTGGCTATTTTTGACACGTGAATAGACTAGATTAGAATAGACCAGACTAGATTAGACTAGACTAGCCTAGACTAGAATATTTCAGTTGGCAGGGACCTACAACAACCATCTAAACCAACTGCCTGACCACTTCAGGGCTAAAGATAAAGCATTCTTCTAACCTGCAAGTAATCCTGCAAAATATGCTTTATTTTATTTTATAGCACATTCTATGTGTTTATTTTCTTGAAGATTTTTCTTTCTTTAGTAAAGAACAATAAGACATCACCTTCCACAGTGAAGTTCCCAAACATCACTTTCTGCTATAGAGGAGTGAACTACATCAGTGTCTCTTAGGGAAAGTGAATATGGCAAAAATAATGTTTGACTAAAAATTAATTTACTGTTCTACATACACAGTGCAAAAAGGCCGCAAAGTATCAGATGTGCTTGTGTATGAAGTTAGTATAGTATCAGGTTTAAATAAAGTATGCCTTGTAATGTGGGAATATGGCGTTAGGAAGATAATGTAGTGTTATAAAAACACTCAGTATACATCTCTGGTTCATATGTCTGGAAATGAGGAGGGGTGGTAGAAACAGTCTTTTCCTTGCTCTCCTTGTGCACATTACTCCACTGTCCAAACTGATACTGGGATATTGGAAGTAGGAGGCCTAAATCTGTTGCAGTAACATTTTGTAGTCAATGTTTGCTGGAGTAAATTGACTTCATCTTTCTCTTAGTTGCAGCACTTCCCAGCATGGGAAGTCAGTGGAATGTTTTCTTCTCTGGTGCTAGATGATACCAGTGGAAATGTATTGGGTAAGGATGACAGGATCTGGTGCATAATGAACTCACCAAACCTCTACAGGAGCATGCTCTGTATTCACTAGAGATTTACAGAAGGCCTGCTTGGCATGAAAAGTTGTTGGAAAAACCTTTTTCTTGTGCACTGTGTGCTTGGAATTTAAATGTGTTACCTCATCCCCTTCCAAAATGGCCAAAGAACATGTACAGGAAAGTGTCTTCTTTTTTAAAAAGATTGAAGTTTATCAGGTACTAGGAGGAACTTTTAATTGCACGTGTTTGTGATCTATGCAAATGAGATGCATCTGAATAAATAAAGCAGTTAAATGCTTAGTTTAGTGTCATTAAAGCTCCTACTTTAAGGGCAAGATGTAGATTTTTTTAAGCTAACTGAATTTCTAATAAAAGTTAGGATTTTCCAAAGGCATCTCTGCAATTCAGTTACCATGTTGTAAAAGTTCAATTAAAAATCTTAGCCTTCATTTACTAACGTGTTTTAGAGTAACTTCCAAAGTGGTGTGTGTCTTTCCTTCTCCACTAGCAGCCAAGGAAACTTTCACCACCAAGCCTGAACTTTGGAAGTCCTTGCTGGTACTCTATGCCCTATAACGCATTTCACGTGGTCAGACACAGCCATTGCATCTCCATCACCATCTCCACTGATGTTGATGCACCAGCTGCAATAATATTTCAAGTCAATCCCTGATTAGTTAGGGGAAGGTCAGCTATTTCTGACTGGCCTTGTCCAGACAGAGAAATAGAATGAAGTTCTGCCATCAGTGTCCCAAAATAGAAGGCCCTTTTCATCTGTCAGGCTTGAGTCAGCCGCACGGAACACAAATTAGAAGACAGAAATCGTCTCACAGGGCATTGGGAAACACAAGAAGAAAGTGAAGTGAAGAGAAACTTCTTCAGATATGAACTGTGTTCTCCAAATGGCTTTTTAGACACCTCCCCAAAACTTTTATTTATTTTACTGCTTTCTCTTAAGTAATAAGAAAGTAGTTATTTCTTTTTTATTTGAAGATAACTTTGATAATGAAACTGAGTGTGGGGATATTTTTTGGAGGCTTCTTTGCGGCTCTAGGGGTTTTGCTTTTTTTGGTGGCATTTGGAACTGATTATTGGCTTCTTGCTACGGAAACTGGAAGTTGTTCAAATGCACCTGAAGATGCTGTGGTTAGTGTGGATGTTTTTATTTATAATTATGACTATATATGTAGGTTTCTTAGATGTGTTGCCTTTTAAGAATTAATTTCTGTATTAACTTTTGAATATACTAATTTTGACCTCACAGCCTTACAAGCCTGCTTCAAAACCTCTTGTAACTAGTTGTAATCAACTCTAAAATGAATTTGTCTTTTGTGATACTACTTTTGCAGTATGACATTCTTTCAAAGGAAGTATCAATGTTTAGATATGCTGTAGGTAACCTATATTCAGACAGGCTCTGTTTCATTATGATGGTGGTGTTTTTTACCTCAACATGTAATTTCAGTTGAACTTGATCCTTTCAGCTGTTTGAAAATTGCCAGATAATGGCTTTTTTGTTTGTTTGTTTGCTTTTTAATTTTTTTTTACCCATAGGGAGAGAAGGCTACTTTTCATCATGAAGGTTTCTTCTGGAGGTGCTGGTTTAGTGGAAATGTAGGAGAGAATAATGCCAGCATGTGGAATTTCTGGTATAGTAAGTAACTTTTAAATTTTAAATTACTTACAGTAATTTGTTCTCAGAATTCTTGCGGGGTTTTTTTTTACATCTTTGGAATCACTAGATTTCATATGGCTTCTTTGGTGAACAGGTTGTTCAGCTACTTTAAAATAAATTCTTGACAAACGTTTTTGTAACCTGTTCTAAAGGAAACCCTGGGACAAAATAATACAAATTTAACTATCAGCTTATGCTCTGAGTGTTATAGTTGTTCTATTAATCTGATCAATTCTTATCAGGACAGTCTCTTGCCACTTACGTTAAACAGACTGTTTATTTCTGTAACTTAGTGAGAAAGAGATTAGTGGTTAAGACGGTCCATGAATTTTTGCTTGGAGAGTTTCTCCAAGTAGTTCTGTGAGTTGGTTGAGGATGCATGTGCAATTGCACTGTGGAAGTAGTGTAGGATACTTCATCTCCTGAAAAATGTATCTACTAAATTCACAGATCTCTTGCTTTCTTTCACTACATGCCACGAATCTGGAACATCAGATGGTATTTTACAACCAAAATTTTCCATGAAGCAGAGGTCAAGCATATCTTCTTTTCCTGTCTTTGACCTTACCTCTGAGGTATAGACCTCCCTCTGCTAATTGCAAGATTTCCACAATCCTTTTGAAAAGCAGATGCCATCATACAAATTTGACTTCAATAACCCATAATCTGTTGCTTGGTCTTAGGTGGAAAATGTAATATTAATTGTAATTTCCCCTTGTTATTTATCTAGAGAATTCTACAGTCAGGAATCTGAAATTTGAATGTGGTTTAAGCTATAGTCAGCCTTTATCTTTCATAGGGAAGGAGGTGATGTTTTTATAAGATTTAATATAAAGAATGAAATAACCTTTCTCTGGGGATATTGATTCCATAGACTAAACTCATATCTGTTAAGACAGTAAGATGCTTGATATTTTTCATTATTCTTTCAGAAAAGAAAAAGTAATTTCCTGTTTTATTTTCTTTTTTTTCAGGGGGTGGGTCATACAATAATGAGACAGACATAATTAATTCTGACAGGAGAAATGTACATATGTGCATAAAAGTGTATGTATGCATTGCATATAAATTGCAGTGTGCCAGATCCTTGCCTTCAGCAAGGCTGCTTTACTGTGCCCATAGTACAAATCTCTGTTGCCCTTTAAGGAATAGCCTTGGCAAGATAACAAGATTGGTATCTCTTACGAAAGCAAAATCCCCTTTAAAGCTGTTGCCTGGGAAAGGACCTAGAATCTTGACCTATGAAACCCAATTTGCCCATTTGAAGAGCAGGCTTGAAATACTTCTTTGTTAAGGCAGTAAATATTAATCTTCAGCTTTCTTTCTCTTTCAGCTAACCAGTCACCTTCTAAGAATTGTACACATGCTTACCTGTCACCATTTCCTCTCATCCGAGATGAACACAATTCAACCTCCTATGACTCTGCAATCAGTAAGTTTTTTTCTGGCTACCAGTTGATACAATGCCTGTAGTTTCACAAAAACAAATTGGATGCTTCAGTATAAAAAAAGCCTTATCACACCACCCAGTTTAATTAATAGAGTTTTGGTGTTTCAAACTTCTCATAATTTTACAGCATGCATATTTAAGCCACTGCTTAGCAAAGCACTTGAATGCTTAGCATTATTTTAGAATGGAAGTAATTTCTAAAAAAAGAGACATTTCCTTTTTAGTGGTTTTTTATCCAACATAATCAGTATCTTCCTTGGGCTGAATGCATGACACAAGTACTTCTTCCCGTGTTTTCCAATAAAACTTTTTTTTTTTTTTTGTTAACTAAATAATCACATTTGGAAAAATATTGCATTTTTACTTTATGACAAAGGAGGAGAGAGCTCTTGATCCTGTCTAAGTTTATTCAACTAACTCAGATATACCGCACCAGCTACTGGATGTGCCCACTTCCCTCCATTGCTATTACAGGGAGCTGGGGCTCTGGAATTGCTCTGAGCAGCCTAAGACTGTAACAATTGGCAGTTTTGTTTAGTGAACGAAGTTCTTTTTAAATGTGTATATATGCTCTGTAATAGTTGAAAATACAATGTTAAACTGAGATATTACCACCAAGAAGCTCTGGTGCACTAACAGAGAAACGTGTATATATATGGAAAACACTCAGTAATTGTCAAACTTCTGTTTGAGTAACATTTGGAAAACTGTTTTTGCAACTCCACTTAAGAATATTAGTCACATTTCATTGGATCAAGAGCTTTATGCATGTGCATTTAAGTAAATAGCTTCTGATACCTATTTTATATAACTTTTAAAATAACCCATTATGTGTGGCTGCTACACGTTTCTGAGCCCCCTGGCTCAGTGACTTAGGCGATCCTTTCCAGTCTTTAAACTATAATCATGCCTTAGCTAACTTTGAATTGTCTTCAGAATCCAATTTTTATGCTGCAGATATGAAAAAATAATTAAAAATTTGGTCTGATAATCTTTCTGTTAATGATTAGAAATTATGACCTGTTTGACCAGGTAGAGTTCAGACCTCACTGTTCAGAGATCTAGTCTGTAACTTCACAGCACACCTAGAACAGATTTTCTTTCCATTTGAAAGTGACAGAGTTATCAGCTCCAAATAATCTAGACAGTTTGTATTCCACCATTCACTCATACATTCACAAGGATCCTCGAATTATATTGCATGATTACACAGAAGTGGACAAACAAAGAAAAAGGAAAGGAGAAGTAATATAATCGAAAGTTTAATTAATTTTAGTGAATGTTTGCCAAAAGAACCACTGCTCAAATATAATTTTTCTATCTATATTTCATATTAGGAGATTTAAAATAGACAGAACTGTACTAGAGGTGCTGTCCTAGGTAGAGTATATTCAGGGCCATTCCTGCAATATAAATAGATAAAGTTGGATTGCTTTCTAGCTCATTAAAACTGAAGAGAAGTGGGATTTTTATGGCTCTAGTTCTTTTTCAAAATCCAAGCTGGGTTATTTACTACTCAGGTATGCTTGTTCATGAGTCTTTCACAACTTTTTATGAAGGAGGTTAGGTCATCATCTCTTCTAGTAGTTCAAAACTTGGCTCTCCTTCAGTCTGGTTTAACAGTCCTGCCCATGATATTGGGCAAACAAGTTTTTAAAACCCTACTGCAACTGCAGTTGCTAAATTAAGAAATATTAGGTTGTCCTTCTCTTCACAGTGGGGGAAATGGTTCTTTGTAAAACAAGTGGTGAAAGCCCTCAGCTTGAATTCATGAAGATTTCATCAACTATTCCTGCATCCAGTTGTCTGCATCCAATACCCTACATCAACTAAACATAGAACAAAAGTGCACTACCAAAAAATTTGGGTTGTTGTCCCTTTTTTTTTGTTTGTTTGTTTGGTCTTGTTTTTTTTAGTTTTGTTTTGTTCTGCTAATGTTTCTTGATACAATATTGTCATTTTCATGGCTCGTAACTTTCTCAACATATTCACTTTTCAGGTTAAAAAAATCTCCCACACAGGTTTATGACTGTTTTCAGTGACTCCTTCAAGTCCTATTTTAATCAGGAGTGAATAAAAAGAAATATTCTGTAATCTGAAAAATACCTAGTTTGCTCTTTCACAGAAAAATGAACAGCTGAATGAAAAACTTTAAAATTTATTAGAAAAACATCAAATCTATGTACAACAGGGTTTTCTAAAAATTTGTATCAACAGAACTGTTTGTTTCTGAGCAACCAAAGGCATGTGACTTGTTTTTCAGACTGTTTGGCTTAAGAGACTTTGGGACCTTATCAGAGGACTTGGGGTTTAATTGCAGCCCCTCGTGGAAACCGAGTGAGGTTTGTTGGTGGAGTGCCATGTTACTACTATCCAGTTGGAAGGGCTCAGACAAAGGTGTGTTTCCTGAGAAGCACAAAATCTCTGATGATTTTTGGGTGCACTAACTAGACCAAGTTCTCTGTTTACCTAACTCCTTTGGCTTCAGTGTCAATAAGAATTTGTCTCAGAGCTTTCTGGGCCAGAGTTCAAAACAGGCTCAATCTATCCTTTCTTAGCTTATTTCACAGAATCACAGAATGTTAGGGGATGGAAGAGACCTCAAAAGTTCATTTGGTCCAAGCCTCCTGCCAAATCAGGATCCCCTAGAATAGGTCACACAGGAACATGTCCAGGCGGGTTTTGAAGGTCTCCAGAGAAGGAGACTCCACAACCTCTCTTGGCAGTCTGTGCCAGTGTTTTGTCACCTTCATAGTGAAAAAAAGTCTTTCCTTATGTTTACGTGGAACCTCCAATGCTCCAGCTTGCACCCATTGTCCCATTATTGGACATCGATGAGAAGAGTCTGGCTCCATCCTCCTGGCACTTGTCCTTCCTTCTTTTTTTTTTTTTTTCTTTTTTTTTTTTTCTTTTTTTTTTTTTTTTTTTTTTTTTTCTTTCTTTTTTTTTTTTTTTTCTTTGTGTGTGTGTGTTAGTTTTATGGTGGTTGTGTGGTAGTTCCCAAAAGACTCAAACACTGAAGACCTTCAAGTTTAGTCTTTCAGTACAATTTACATAGCTTTGGACTGAAGGCTTGATTCATCCTGCTGTGTACACCTAGACTATGAGACCTTGGTGTCAAGAATTACAGCCTTAAATGAAAATATAAAGACAGAAACACGTATAGGGATGCTTATATTGGGGATTTTTATATGTTTTAATGTCTCAGGTTTCTATTCATCATTACTGTCGGATCCATGATCAATTTTGGAGGGTTAGGTAGCCCTACTTTGAGATTGCAGCTTCCTGTATCATTTAATCACAGGTGTAATGGTTTTGCTCATTGACTACTTTTGTTAAATGTCTTAGCAGAGTGGGGAGGACTTCACCTGCCTGCAGTGTAAGGTGCAGTCCACAGCTGTGCTAACCATCATTTGTGGTTAATGCTCTTAAAGAAATGTGCAGGCCATGCCATTCATCTTAACATGAAATAACTATCTAAATGAACTCAGGGAAGCCTGACTCTAGTGACTTTGCACGATGGTACATAGTTTATAGTGACAGTTATTGTAGCATGCAGCCATTAAATAGTCTTAGACAGCACCTTATTTTGTTGCCAGGACATTTATTTATACAATGATTCACAAATGTAAGTGCAACAAATTACAAAACAAGAATAATTAAAAAAAACTATTAGTTTTACGGTGGTTGTGTGGTAGTTCCCAAAAGACTCAAACACTGAAGACCTTCAAGTTTAGTCTTTCAGTACAATTTACATAGCTTTGGACTGAAGGCTTGATTCATCCTGCTGTGTACACCTAGACTATGAGACCTTGGTGTCAAGAATTACAGCCTTAAATGAAAATATAAAGACAGAAACACGTATAGGGATGCTTATATTGGGGATTTTTATATGTTTTAATGTCTCAGGTTTCTATTCATCATTACTGTCGGATCCATGATCAATTTTGGAGGGTTAGGTAGCCCTACTTTGAGATTGCAGCTTCCTGTATCATTTAATCACAGGTGTAATGGTTTTGCTCATTGACTACTTTTGTTAAATGTCTTAGCAGAGTGGGGAGGACTTCACCTGCCTGCAGTGTAAGGTGCAGTCCACAGCTGTGCTAACCATCATTTGTGGTTAATGCTCTTAAAGAAATGTGCAGGCCATGCCATTCATCTTAACATGAAATAACTATCTAAATGAACTCAGGGAAGCCTGACTCTAGTGACTTTGCATGATGGTACATAGTTTATAGTGACAGTTATTGTAGCATGCAGCCATTAAATAGTCTTAGACAGCACCTTATTTTGTTGCCAGGACATTTATTTATACAATGATTCACAAATGTAAGTGCAACAAATTACAAAACAAGAATAATTAAAAAAAACTAATACCAGATTGGTCCGTACAAGGAAGGTGCCAGAGTAGTAACCTCTGCATTCTAAAATAAACATAGGTTTGTACAATCATAGTCAGATTGGTTATCCCATCAGCCACTTTGAAATCATAATAGTATAGTACTTAAATAATAATTCATTGCTACCTAGATTAACGCACGGTATCATCTCATCAGGTTACTTAACAGTGACATTCAAGGGTTTACCTTTTTATAAAACTCTCTTTTACTACAGGACAATACTAAACCTGTTTTTGTAAAAAGCATAAATTCCTTACTCATATAAGTAGTCCCATTGGCTATAGTAGGCTTATTCCTAAGAAAAAAAGAAGTGCAAGATCTAGCACTTAGCCAAGTCATTAATTTTATTTTTCAGGTTTTTTTCTACATGATTTGAAAATAAAGAATAATTTCTTAACGGTTGTACATTGCTCCAGCACCTTCTAAATCTAAATTGGAAGCCATTTAATGGGGCTACACTGACATGTTAGTTTAATTCTATGATTTGTAGCTGCTAATACTTTTTTCCTTGGCCATTAGTATATTATTTGGTCCAACACTGGGCACATTACCAGTGTTTGAAGTAGTGCCTAATATAATGTA